AAACTTAATGGATTTCATCTCTTTGTCAAATTGCCCATAGGTGAATGGATTTATGGTTTTAATCCTGTTCCATTTGTCTATGTACCTGTCGCTGAATCAGTACCAAGCTGCTTTCATTACTATGGCTGTGTAGTAGGTTTTGAGATAAGGAAGTGTAAGGTTTACTACTTTATCTTTTTTTCCCCCCCAGGTATCATTTTACCTATCTTTCCATAGAAAGTTGGTGTTTACTTTTTCTGTATCTTTGAAAAGTGATGAGGGGATCTAGATGGGGATTTAATTGTATTTGTAGATAGATAATGTATTTAGTTTTTTGTTTTATTTCTTTAATGCTCCAGCTTTGTCTAGACTAATGTTAAGCTCATCCATTGAGCTTTTATTTTTAATTACTTAAAATTCATTGTTGTTGTTGGTAAGTGCCATCAAGTCGTAGATGAAAGACCTGAATACTTGTTTAACTTTCATCATTTTTCTAAATTCATAGAGTTCCTGGAGGCAAGCTATTTTGGAATTGGATGCCATTCCTGCTTCCAAGCCTGTTTTAACCTTGGAGCTCCATCAAACACAGTCCACCATGGGTAACCATTATCACATTTGACACATCAGTGGCACAGTGTTTAGCATCACAGCAACCATGAATTACCTCTGTACAGTAAATGGACAGACAAGTGCTATACCACTTAGAAGAATGTTTGACTAAAAACAATAAAAACTAGGCCTGAGGGCTGCAGATTAAAATTGCTCACCTTTGGCTTGTAGTTAACTTTTGATGAACTAGGCCAAGAGACCTCTCTCTATGACTCACAACAGTTCTATGAACAACAAATCTAACCTGGCCCTATCATATGCTATTCCTACAATCTGCGACACACTCAAGCCAATTGCTACAGTCACCATATCAATCCATGTGTTAAGGATCTTCTTTTCTTCCTTGACTTTCCACTTCCCCTAGCATGAAACCATTTCCCAAGAAACTGTTGCTGTTGTTAAGTGACTTTCAGACAGGTCAAGTTGGCCAAGTAGTAAAGGACTCATAGCAATCCTATGAATGAAAGCCCTGAACATTTGTTTAACTTTCATTGTTTTTCTAAGTTCATAGAGTTTCTGGAGGCAAGCTATTTTGGAAGTGGATGCCACTCCTGCTTCCAAACCTGTTTTAATATGGGAGCTCCACCAAACACTGCCCATCATGGGTAACCATTATCACATTTGATACATCAGTGTCACAGTGTTTAGTATCACATCAACCACAAGTTACCTCTGTACAGCAAATTCAAAACAAATTTTTAATTTTTCCTATTGATGGTCTCCTTTTTCTCATACTGCCATCTCTTATTTCTTGAATTACATTTAGCATTCCATTTTATACTGTCTCTAACAATTTTTACCTAAGAACTTATCCTAAATCTTAATCTACAAATTGCTTAGTCTGATTGTAATATATATTGCTTTATTTCCTTAGCATTCTTTTTTTAAACTTTGAGCTTCTTGGAATGTTACAAGTGTATATTTTTAAGATCTGGACTGGGCCAATTGGCAGCTTCATGATAGACGAAGAAGAGACTGAGATTATGTGCAACTTCAGCTTTCTTGGTTCCACAATCAAAACTCCTGGCACCAGCAGTCATGAAAGTCGGCTGTCAGGGACCTCTCTAGAGTTCTAAAAAGCAATGATGTCAGTCTGGAGCTAAGGTGTGTCAGATACAGGCTATGGTCTTTGCAATTACTTGTTATGTATCTGAGAGCTGGACAATAACTAAGGAAGATAGAAAGATCAATGCTTTAGAGTTGTGGTGCTGGAGAAGAGTGCTGAACATACTGTGGACTGCCAAGAGAACAAATAGGTCTGTCCTGGAGAGGGTGAAACCAGGTTGCTCCCTGGTGGCAAAGATGATGAAGCTTCGACTCACATACTTTGAGCACATGGCCAGGAGGGACCAGTCCTTAGAGAAGCACATTATGCTTGGAAAAGTGGAGGGACAGCACAGAAAAGGGAGACCCAAAATGAGATAGATTGACTCAGTGACTGGAGAAATGGACTTAGGCCTGCCAGAGACAGTGAGATTGGCACAAGACAGGTCAGGGTTCAGAGCCAACATACATAAGTAGGGTTGCTGTGAGTCTCAGGTGACTCGATGACACATAACAACAGAAGGAATTCTCTTCAAAAAACTTGTGCTTGCATCTAACAAATTCCTGGGGGCAATACTGGGTCTGGACCACTTCAGTTAAAAAGAATTTTTTAAAAAATATTTTTATTTGATAGAGCTCTCTGGTGGAGTAGTCTATAGAGAGCTTCTCTGGTAGAGTAGTCTATAGAGAGCTTCACTGCTAACCCTCAGTTATTGGTTCAAGACATTTCAGACATCCAAGACATCCAGCAGCATATATTTCAGCTCGAAATGCTATAAAAGATGGCTTGTGATGACAAATTCTCAAGGGAGATTTCCCTGCTTTGATAAAGCACTAAAACTAAGGCAGGTAATTTTCCTCATAGACAATGAGGAACTGATTCTAGTTCTCCCTTACACTGAGCATGCAGACTTACCTCTCTGGTGTGTGTGTGTGTGTGTGTGTGTGTGTGTGTGTGTGTGTGTGTGCGCGTGCGTGTATGCATGTGCGTGCGTGCGCTCGCTTGTGAAACCTCTTACTAAACAGCTAACTCCGGGATGGTCCTAGGCTTCACTTCAAGGCTGCCGTCTTAAATAACTATTCTTGAAGCTACCCATTTCAACATTTTCTCACAGATGAAAGACAGGTTTGACACTGCCTATTTCCCCCTTCACTGAGTTAACTTCTGTCTTAACCCTGGTCTGTGTATGCTATACTTGCCTGTTTTTTCATGCTGGACTGATTAAGTATGCATATTCTCCAGTGTTTTTGTAGGTATCTCATTTACCATGCTGTCAGAAACTCACTACTTAGATATTTTTAAAGATCTATGTTCATAGTTGATGTTTATCTTTAATTTCTCACATTGATTTTGTATTAAACAGTAATCTCAAGAAGAATTGCAAAACAGCCACTCATCCTTCCAATCTCCAAAAAGGTTTGTATAGAACAAGGATTACTGGCTCCCTGAAGACTCCACAAAGCTCATCTGTAAACCACCTTGGTCTCATATACTGTGACAGAGTTCAGGAAGGGTGTAGTTTTGATTACTGAGTATCTGTAAGGTTAAGGAGCCCTGGTAGCCCAACGCACTATGAATCAGGTTGCTGACCAGAAGGCTGGCATTTTGAATCCATCCCACAGAGCTACAGACTTGGGAACCTGACGGAAGGCCACCAGGAGTTGGACTTGACTTTGACAGTAGTGGGCTCATCTTAAAGGCTACAGCTTTATTTATGTTTTCTATTTCTTCTCGAGTTAATTTTCATAAAATCTTTTATACATATCTGTATATCTAAAGTGGCCCAGTGGATAAGGAGTTGCACTGCCAACTCAAAAGGGAGGCTGCTTGTATCCGCCAGTTTCTCTGTATAAAGATGGGCAATTTCCTCTCATATGATTGACAGCCTTGGAAAGTCTGCTGGAATTTAATAAAATTCTGTGCTCAGCTCTGCATCCTATGCCTCCTGCTTTCTCTCTGGGTTCCCTTCTCGTCCTGCTGAGCAGAGCAGGCTGGAGATGACCTGCAGAGACACACTGGGACACTAGCGACACTTTCTGACAGGGCCCCAGCTTCTCCTCGCCCTTCTGAACGCGTGGATTCACAGGCTAACCTACTCTGCTTAGGTCATGTCACTTGAGGCCAAAGAATTCCAACGAAAAGTATAGACGTTTGTGTGTTGCTTGCCTAATTTATTCACAGTGAAGGAACCAGAAATATAGCATAGATTTAAATTCTTAGAGAGGAAGTTGATTTTTTTTAAAAAAGAGATGATGATAATAATAAAGAAAATACACAGGATAATGCACCAGAAGAGAAAGATAAAAATGAAGGAACTAAAAATAATGAACGCCAGAAAGCTAATTTCTCAAACTCGTCAGCAGCAGTAGTTAAGAGGAGAAATCTGTTCTTTTTCAGGGGGAGGGTGGAGGCAGATTTAAGGCACCAAACAGACCCTATTAGACCCAAGAGAAGTAATAACTACCAGAAATAATTGCCAATAACATGTTTTTATATTCTGACTATTAAAAACAGCCTAAGGACAATACTTCAATGATAAGCTTTCTACTGAAACTTTTTCTGCCTTTATTAAATTCTTAATTAAATGTAACATATTGATGGTGCATTACTTTATGCTCTTTTCACCAGGACTTACACACACACACAAACACACACATTTATATCAATTTATATAAATAAATATATTTATTGGAATATATATTTATATACATATATAGGAAGCTCTGGCTAGTGCAGAGAAACTCTTCATGGCCTAGCCTAGCTGTAGAGAATTATACCACCAACCCAAAGGCACACAGTTCAAATCCACTAGCTGCTCCTTGAAAAGAAAGAAGGGGAAGCTCCTCCATATGATTTGAAACCTATGAATTGGTTCTGATTTGACTACACACAAGTACAATAACAACAGATGGCAACTGGTTTGATTTCTTGGTTTATATGTGTGTTTTTAAAATCTTACCAAGGCTATCCCTTTGAGTATGATTCTAGAAAGCTCAAATTTAAAGAGCATTCAACTGAAACACAAATAATTGTTTCATCCAGCCAATAACAAAACAATAGCAGAAACAAAAATTCCATTATAACATTCACTTTGAAAATTCTATTCTTCTCCAAATAATAACATACATTATACATACACCCCCTCCAATTTAGGAAAATACCCTTGGGGGGAGGGTATGGCTCGCAAAAACAACTCAAAATAAAAGCTGTAACGTGAGTGACTTTTATAAAAGTATGGCATAATTCTTCAGTGTGATCAAGTATTATCATTGCCTAAAAAGCAAAACCATACACACATTCTCTATAATATAGATCAAGAGGGGATCTATGAATGAAGATACACATTTAGAAGAAAAACAATAACTACCTTTGATGCAAGATTGTCCACTAAAGCAATCATGGAGTTCTTAAACAAGGTGGCGGCAGTCAAGGGTCGCTTGGTCACCTCTGTAATGCTCAGTTTCCCTTCTGGCCACATATTCTTCAGCACAGGATTTGAACTGAGAACGACAGAAAGAGAGATTCCAATGTTATCCCGCAAAACAGCTGACCAAGAACTGCTAAGCTATCATCCTGGGACAGCTGGACCAGAGACCGAGAGCACAGGGCCTTTCCTGAGCACACAACAGCCCCGGGAATGCACGGGACTGTCTAGGCCCCCAGGGACAAATGGAAGCTTCTCAAATCCCCCTCTCCCCAAATCACCACACTCCTTAGCTTTTCCTCCATTGCTTTTTGTTTAGTCTATTCTTTGCCTATTTGTTATCCCTTGCCCTCTACCACAATGATCAATACTTCGGTTTCTAAATGTTTCCAACAAACATGTCACTGGCTGCTACCATTATCTGGTATCTGCTTCTACTTGGGAGAGTTAGAAAAATTAGAAGCAAGACCTTTTGTCTGATCCTTCGGAAGTTATGAGTTAAAACAAACTACCCAATTCTTGGGAAAGAAGGTCCACTCTGCTCTCTGGCACAATGCCGGAAATGTGGACTGTTGTCTTCAAGTCTGCCTGCCACCCTGCAGAGGAGTGGTGGATGGGAACAGGCTCCACTGAAATGGCAAAACTCTCTTAGTGAGATTCAGCAATGTTTTGCGATTGTCCATTCCCCTGGTTATCTTAAGTTTTAATTAATTTCCAGAGTTCCAAAGAAGTGGATTCTGACAGTCTTCACCACTTTATTAGTGGAAGGTAGATAATTAGAGTTCCCTACTCCTCCATTTTCACTGACATCAGGCTACCATTCAAAAACTTTAGAAAATCGTTCCTTTCTTTGCTATTTAATAATATTTTCTTGCACGTCAGGTGTATGTTTACAAAGCAGATGAGTCTGCCCTTTTAGGATTTGTAGGCAGATTCTCCCATGCTGTTGGCTACAAAGTGGCAGCACTGTGGGAATGTCATTCTGTTTGCGCTGCTTCCATTGATCCAGCTTCCCTTGCCCTTCTCATCCCTGCATTTGGGCAAATGTTGCCCGTTTAGTCTCAAAGAGTTAGTTATTTAAGGGAGCATATTACTCACTCATTACAGTGTTTATCATTTTGTTGAAAGACGATCTGCAAAAAGAGTTTGAATTCCAAATTCAAAAGGTATTTTAGGGCAATAGTCTTTGCTCTAAAAGACTATTTTAGAAAATACTATTTTAGAAAAGACTTTTGCCCTGAAAGGCAAAAGAAAGATTTCCTCTAATCTCTATTAATCCAGTAAGTCTGGATTTTTTTAAAATAATAATTTTTAAAAAGATTTTTTTAAAAAAATAATTTCCTCTGATTTTATCTGGGGCATTCCAGTGTGTTAACAGAGAACAGTTAGGAGAAGTGGCTAGGTACAGTCTCGTTCCTTACATCTTAGTTTAAAAGAGACTTTGTGGTTCTTAGTCCTGTGAACTAGTTTCTTCCTAAAGCCTTTGACTTCTTTCATTATCGTTTGATTCATATGAGTAGAGGAAAACCATTTTAATTGGCTGCTTACAAGCTTTTAAGACCCTGAGTGTTATTCACCAAATCAGAATGTGTGAACTAACTTTATTATGCCAATTAACTAAGTTATCCCCTAAGACTATGGTCCCAAGACTTCTGAAGCTCTTAGTTGTTTGGGCAGGGCTAGGAAGTCTCTGAAACTGTGTCCCCTTTGTGTTTGCTATACAAATGGGATAAGCAGCACACACAAACGTGTATGTCCATATGCCTACAGATACACTCAAGTATGCATGTGCATTTACTCACAAAAGCCTAAAACTTGTATGTACATCCATATCTATCTACCTGACCACATAGATTTTTGAATTGTTTTTACTACTATTTAAAAATGATATGTATTAAAGCATTTAGTGAAAACATTTCCTTTTTTGTGTACTTTTTAGTGTGTCTTTATTATAGTGGTCAAACTGTACTGACTTCACCCATATTTGGCTTCAATAATTTTTGATGACATACTAATCAACTAATTTATTCAGCAGACTGAATAACTAAGTGAATGCAGTTCTCTGATTTATAAGAACAGCTGGTCTGACCAAGAAAAAAGTTTCCTCTTCACGGGCCTTCTTTCCAAAGCACACATAGTAGGTTTGAACTTGCTATTAATTGCTTGTCACTGAGTGACACAAAATTTTTGCTGGATTGTTAACCTAAAGGTTGGTGGTTTGAACCCACCTATAGGCACCACAGAAAAGAGTTCTGATGCGCAACTGCTGTACAATTTACAGGCAGAAAACCCTCGGGAGCAGTTCTACTCCACAGCACGCAGCGCTGTCGCCGTCAGGAGTCAGAGTCAACATGGCAGGGAAATAATTTGCTAATCATGCTCAAGAGTTTGAGGGTTCTTAAAAAACATTGTCTTAATTCCTAAGGAGACTCCAGATGCACAGGCAGGGTAGATGATCACTGACTCTAGACACAATTCTGAAAGGTGGTCTCTTAGTTAGGGGCAAAACCACCACCAGGAGAATCAGAGTCTGTCAATGTTTTCAGCTGACAACAGCGGGGCAAAGGCTACCCGGGACTTCTCCCATCACCACTGGACTAGCCTGGTGATTCTACCCCTGGAGTAAGGATGTCAGATGACTCCCTGGGAGCAGTGAATCCAGAAACTGAAGAAAAACAAGAGAAAGAAAGAAATACCAGGTAAATCTCAAAAAGTTTATAGACTCAATGCTCCCAAAGTTATATATTACTTTTAGCTATTAAGAATGTTGAAGCAGAAAAAGAAAATCTGCTGAAACTCTTCAACAGGTTTGTTAAAAACAAACCTGTATGTGTATTTTATATGGATACCCATCAAAGAGTCTAATGCAAAAAAGAAAAACATTCCAATCCTACCTGTTATACATGAGGCGCTTAAAATCTTGAAATAGAGTATCTTTATTTTTGTCAATAAAACCAATGACAGAATATCTAACAGGAAAAAAAGAAAAACACTTAGAAAACACACATTATTCACCAAGCAAGAGTCATATTGAGCGCAAACACTGTATGAGTTGATGTTCAGGGAGCAAGTCTGTAAGGTGTTAGATGTCCCCTCTTTTTTTAATTGAGATTTTAATGACAGTTTATAGAGAACATGGACTTCCATGTATTCATTGTTGCATATTTTCCTCCCTGACCAACCTCCCCAGTTTGCTTTTCTCTCTGAAAAAAAAAAACACTTTCATTGTTATACTATCCCTCCTCCCCCAGTCCACTTTACTATGCAGCTCTTATTCTGAAATGTTTGTCATGCAAATAGTACCTAATCATATATTCTATTTAAGCAGTTCTCTCTCTCATCTGTTTCAATGCAGTGTTCATTATTTATCCCCTCTTTTCTCATAGATGACCCCTCTTCAATATCATGGTGTTGATAAGAGGACCAGAAACGATGGTGCGATGCCAACACTAATGGCCAGTTTGGAAGATGGAGTGATAACTCTAAATTATATTATTTTAAGAGTCTAGAGTTTACATTTAGATCAGAAACATCTATTAAAATGTCTTTTCAGCATTTATAGAGATGACCATTTGCTTTCTCTGGTTTGATTTGTCATGTAACGGGTTGCATTTATAGAACTTCTAATGCAAAGAGGAAGGCAAAAGGGAAAAAAGAATTTTAAATAATAATAATAATAATAATAATAATAATATGAGGAAGGGTACTCAGTGGATGGCCAGAGCAAACTAAGGCAGTTCTGTTTTTTTAAAATTATATTTTCTTGTAAGTTTCTAGTTTTATTGTACTGGGATGAGAAAAGGTATATCCTGTAAGAATTTTAATTTTTCAAATAATAGCTTTTGAAAAATAATACAGTAGGACCCTGTTATTTATTTTCTCATTTTCTACCATCTATGAAATTCAGGGAGTTCTGACGGCATACTTCACATAAAATAATAATTTTTAAAAATTTATACTTTCTTTTTAATTTCTGGGTTTTTTTCCATTCACATTGTTTTTTATATGATTATTCCCATACATCATGTCTTATAAAATTAATCACCATTGATCTATGTCCACTATTACCTTGTCTTTTCAGATGCCCATAGTATCTGTACTAATTCCATCACCCCCTTCCTCCACTGTCAAACTCTGTGACCTTGTCATTTTTTCCCTTCCCCACTCTCTGCTCCCCCAACTCCCATTCCCTCTTTGGATATTTATACACATCTTAGAAGTTATTGTTCTGTGTTTTACAATAATTTCCTATGCAGTATTTGTCCTTATGAGCTTGAGTTATTTCACTCAGCATAATGCTCTCTAGCCTATTCTGTTTTATAGTATTTCTTTGAAATTGTTGCTCCTGGGTGCTGCATAGTATTCCATTGTGTGAATTTACCACAATTTCTCAAATCCATTCATTTGATGACGGACAATTGGGCTGCTCCATGTTCTTCCTACTCTGAATAATGCTGCTATGAACACCAGTGTACAAATCTCCATTTGTGTCTCTGTTCTAAATAGTAACTCCTGCCTCTGAGTCTTTATTCTGTAGTCTCTCCAAATGATATGGCCGTTTTTCTACCCCTTCTCCTATCTTCCCAATTCCGTCCTTTGACTAACCATAGTTATTTTTAAACATTTTTAGAAGTCAACTTAGTCATTACTTCCTCTTGCAGCAAGGCTTCTCTGTGCTTCTTACACTGGGTTAATTATCCCTCCTCAGTGCTCCATAATGCCTTGTACATCTCTATTTCAAACTTTCCCACCATCTGTTATAATGACTTATGTTGTATCTGCCTGTAGACTCCATTAAACCACTGTCTCCTGAAGGGTAAGGGCCATCTTATCCATCTTTCTTCTCCAGTTCTTAACATACTTCATCCCAAGAGCTGTTTAGTCATCAGTCAATTTTTATTGAGTAGCAACTAGGTCAGTAACTGTGCTTGAGCAGAGTGTTCAATGAATGTTAAAAAAGGAAATCAAACAAAAAACAGCCACCAAACAGAAGTGAATGAAGTTGTGCCAATTTTTTTAAAACAAAGTGATTAAAACATATTGACATACAAAATGATTGGAAAATTGCAAATGAATGGGAAAAGCATTTCTATGTGGTCTGGGAATACTTTCTGAGGTGTGGCTGCTCACATTCATTATGCTGTAGACCAAAAGCAGATACTTACACTACGTCCCCTGCATAATGTCGAATGCGAAAATCTCGATCAAATTCCAGCATTTTGTCTGAGGCACAGAGCTAAGAAACCAAGAAGGAGATTGTTTTATTTTGAGTTATAGATAAGTCTATTAGAAAAACTATATCTTGAAGCATAAAATGGACTTCTACTAGGAGCAAAAGTGGAAGAAAAGGAGATTATTTTAAACGAACATTTTCTTTTTAAAAAATTTTTTTTTTTACATTTTCTTTTTCTTAAGAATAAGAATGTACTTCAACTTGAAATGACTGTGTCACAAAACATGATGTTATTATGGATGCAACTGTATGGTGGGGGGCTTGGTTTTCGTGTTTGACTTTTGGGGTCCAGATAGTGAGCTTTCACACGAGTTCTGTTCCCTCAGACGTTACCGTCATCAAGTGCCAACTATCTGCTAGGCACACACACTTAGTCCTCACAGTGGACATTAGAAGTAAGCGTTATGATTTCTAACACACATGGAAAGTTAGTCTCAAAGGTCCTAGTCTGTATAGTAAGTGGTAGTCCTGGGAGAAAATCTGGGACCAACTGCAGTGTCTACAGCGTCTACACAGCAGCCTGGCTCACCTGTCTTCTCATCCTGCATTTCAGCCAGGCCTATCACATCACAGATCAACTTGTTCTCACTCTTTCTTTACTGGAGGCAAATATATTAAATGTGAGGTCAGTTTATTGTAATGACTTGGGTGGCCTCCATAACAGTTTTTCTTATTAAATTAAAACCACTGAGATGGTTTTTCAGTGAATGCTAGACTTTTCTGCCCAAGCTGTAAAGGGTCATTTGCTACTGAATAGGTTCTAAAGAAACATGTAAGAATCCATCAAGCACTGAATGATAAACAACCCCAACTAGGATGGTAGTTTCTATGTAGGTAATTAAGCTGTAAAGAATTTCTGTATTAATTTAACAAATTAAAATCAGAATCAGATTTATGAGGTTCAAATCTTGGCTCAACCATCTCTCTAAGAGTCACTTGATGTAAGGATTACATAATCTATGCAGGCCAAGTGGTCTCCAGGCAAGTTCTTCTTGTCTTCTCTTTCTCTTATTAACTATTTCTACAAAATGGTTTGAGTTTTAAAATGCCCAGAGGAAAATGACATAAGATATTCCACACTAATTGAATACTTAGTATATTCTATTAATACGAGGATAATCCTAATTGCATATCATAGTCTCAAATGATCTGAGCACAGACGGTTTTAGTTTTTTTTCTAACAACAATTTATAATTTAATTTTTATGTTAATAATATTCTAAATAATTATTTTATCATTTGTTGAATTATTTGCAAGCCTCTCAATGATAACTTTAATGTATAAGCAACAATTTACCCCATAATGAAATTACTGTTGCAAGACAGAAGTCATTTTTGTCCCACATGTCAGTATCAATAACTCTACTTAACGAGTAATCAGCAAATGATGGAAGTTGGATCAACATACAAGATTGTAGTATTATTAAAAGAAGTTTTATAGTGATTAAAATATCCTAATGGCATCATTATTTCTACGCTTAACTCAACAGAGATGGGGGGCACTTTAAAAATTAGTCTCCATAAATAAAGTACAACTGGTATTTTCTATTAAGTTAGTAGCAATTGTCTAAAAGTACCATGTAGAGCTGCTACCTTAACACGTTGCTGCAAATGATGGTAATACATCGAAAAAGCACGGTTATCAATTTAAAAGTGTGTGTTAAACAACTTTCACACTATATGGTTGACACATTTAATCCAGGTGTATATATGATCAAGGTTAAAAGTATCAAAATGAAGTGGATCTTGATGGCTCACAAAGAGTTCATAGTTGTAATATATATTAAGTGAAGCCTTGTATATATTTAATTCAATATTCCATAGGCTTCTTTTTAAAAAAGAAAATTTTATTTTAATTGTGATTTTAATTAACATTTACAGAGAAGTTAAGATTTTCATTTATTCACTGGTGCATACTATAGGCTTCTTTGGTATGATTTTTACCAAATCAATTTGATTTTTTGAAAATGGACTGAATGGCCTACTACTTGGGAGAAAAATGCTAGGCAATTCTCCCAAATCTGAATCATGCTTAAAAAACAGGCATTCAGAAACTATCCCACCAAAGACAGGGCCTTTGTCCATGTAGTCATCCCATCTTTAACACTACCAGTTATTATTAATTAGATTGCTTCTACCTGTGCTCACTGCTCTGTCCTCAACATCTAGGGCTGTACCTGGCAAATAAAGGTACTGTGGAAGTACTTGTGGTATAAATGGAAAACAACCTCTAATTGGAGTGCTGTCAAAGTTCAGACTGCAATATCTTTTTTTTTTAAATACAATTTTTATTTTATACTGGTTTACTTACAAAGTTCATACAGACTGCAGTACCTAAAAGCCAACTTGTAGCAGGGGTACCCGTCAGTCCTCAGAAACAAATCAGTATTCTCTAAACTGATTGACCTAAAAGAAATAGCTCAGCCAATAGTCTATTTTCCCCCATGATATATGCCTTTAACAAGTTCACTTCAGCATTTTCTATTCTGATCATATAATTTCAAAGGAGACAGCATGAAAATAGAGATTTGATTGTGAGCAAACACGGCAGTGTGTCCTCGATGCTGTGGAATTCGGAATGCGCAGGCGCATGTTCGCCTTTACGGATGGGAAGAAGCCCCGGAGCTGTTAAACCTTCACGGTACGGCTGCTGCAGGCCAGTATTTGCAGATAAATCTTAGGGAGATGATGGGAACTCCTTCTCTAGCACAGATTCCTTGAACCACGCTAAAGAGAGGCATGCTACATGCAAGGCTCAGCACACAGGTCTGAGCTGATAATCATGACTCCTACCAATTATTAAAAATGTACGCTTTGTTTATGGTATTCATCTATAGAATGTAAAAAAAAGAGAAGCAAAAAATGAAAAGTATCCATTTAAGGAGTAAGTTTCTCTGTGTGGATAAAAAATGAACAGAAATTTTCTTATTTCAAGGTCACCCCATCTGAGGTAAGACAGAACCCGCACCACATTTTATAACTGAGGATAAATAGTAAAAAAAAAAAAAAAAAGGAAAAAGTCAAGGACAAAAGCTATTTTCAGTGCCAGAGTTATCAGATGCAGGAGTAAAATTCTAGCTCAAGAATGAGGACTTGGTACTATTGGTTACAAATGACATCATGCTTTCTTTCCCCACGTCTCTTTCTAGCAAATTAAGTAGTCTGGAGCTCCCTCTGCTGGGCACTTCAGTTTTATCAATCTCGTCATCTTTAAACCAGTAATTTACCCTCAGTGAAAGGCTCACAGCCTTTATTTCTTAGTTGAGTGGGGATTCCTGTAATGTAACATCAAAGTCAGTGATCTTTGTCAGACAAAAGGAAAAGCATCTTACAGATCAAAGCGAGCAGAAGTTCTCGTTTAAACCCGTTACCTTTCGACTAGAGAAATGGCCATGCTTGCCCAATTTACTGTTAAGGGCTTCAAGGAACATCTCATCAGTGACTTTGCCAACGTTCATGCATGCGTCATCCAGGACCGCAATGATGCCTTTGTGCTGTTGCTCCACAAGGTCCACAATGATCTGATTGTTGAAGTAATCAATCTGCAGGACACAGTGAGGAAGCAATACCAGAACTGAGCCCACGTGGGCAAAGGACCACTGTCTTCATTTGTAAGAGTTTAATTAGGCTACTGTGAGGTCAAGTATACAGATGACATTAACGAAAGTTAACACTAAAATGAGCACACGTTCCAATGAGGGCTAATATTCAAATTTCTTTGTTGACGTTATATCATGGAAACACTTACTGTTCTTCGGTGAGTGCAGTTCAAGGCAAAAGATAAGCTAGAAAACATTTCTCAGCACTAGTATGCTTTAATTCTATCTCTGCACCCTACCCCATCATACACCAGTGCCCTAATTTGTGTTTGTTAACCATAAGACCATTCACCTTTCAAGTGTCAACAAATAGTCATAAGGTATATTACTTGATAAAGAGGTTCAGATGTTATATAGAACTTGGATTTCTTTATGTGACTCTGAACAACTGAACTGCAAAAGAGCATTTTTTTTCATCTTTCCCAAGATTAGAAAGCAGAATGGGTCTAAAAAAGTTTACACACCTTC